AATATAATGAAATAATAATGTATTCTACATGGTTTTACGATTGTTTAACGTTTTAATTACAAGGGTTAACATCAAATGCATCAAAAGCTGGTCCCAGGTCTGGCTCATCAAATTACAAGCCTATTGCCTCTCGTCCAGTGCAGTCCAAAGACAAATCCAGCAACAAGGGGATAAGATGTTATGAGTGTGAAGGTTTTGGTCACGTTCAAGCTGAATGTCCCACTTATCTAAGTGCAAGAAATCTATGTCAGACATTACCTAGAGTGACGACGAACCTGAGTCAGACGCAGCTGGATCTGATGTTGAAGAGATATCCGGTAACTTTGTAGCGTTCACTGCCTGTGTTGCAGCATGTTCAGGACTTGAAGACATAGCCAATTCAAAGGGAGGCGACTATCGCTCAGCTGAAGATTTAGATTTAACTTCTTTGTCCTATGAAGTAGAGTTCAACAAATTGTACCCCAAGTTGGAAGCCCAACGTAAAGCAAATCGTACCATTACTAGTCAAATAGGGATATTAACCAATGCTAGTAAAGTGTACCAGAATCAAGTAGCTGATAGGGATTTACTGTTTAAAGCAGCCTCTGACCGAGAAGAGAAAATGAAGCAGGAAGTACAGGCACTGAAGCAGGAGCTGGACACCTTCAGAAAACAAATCCAAATGATGGGCACTACCACAACAGCTAACTAGATACTTGATTCAGGAAGAAAATCTTCAGCGAAATTTGGTCTCGGCTTCACTGGGGGTACTTCAAAAGATAAAACTGTCTTTGTCAAAGCATCAGGACTACATCCAGAAGATATTCCTGAATCTACCTCGCAAGACAAAACAACGGTATAGTACGACAAAATAAACATCCCTTTAAACTCTCTAACCTAGTTTGTCATTATTGCAGGTTGCGTGGCCACATCAGACCGGAATGTTACTACTTCTACAAGGATCAAAGTACTGAAAAATTCAAGCACAAGAACATCAAGCCCTTCACTAAACAAATTTGGGTTAAGAAAACTGATTATATATGTTTTGTCTCGTTTCACTCTGAAAGTGCAGGGAGAGAAGAAAAGTGGTGCTTCGACAGCGGGTGTTCACGTCACATGACGGGAAACACAAAGTTTCTATGTGACATTAATGCAAGCAAAGGTGAAGTAACCTTTGGTGTTGGTGTTAAAGACAAAGTCAGTAGTAGAGTAGGTACTCTAAACGTGGCTGGACTACCCAAGCTAAAGAAAGTCCTGCTAGTAAATGGTCTTTATGCTAATCTTATAAGTATCAGCCAACTTGGTGACTAAAATTGGAACGTATGCTTTACCAAAAATAGCGGCAGCATAAACCAAACCAATGTGTTATGGAGGTAAGCGGTCAACAGACAATTGCTATATTCTAACAAACGATATTCTCTGTTGCAGGTCCAGCATAAATGAGTCCGAGTTATGGCATAAAAAACTAGGACACCTAAGTTATTGACTTCTTGATAAATTAATAGCAATAGAAGGTGTGCGTGGTCTACACAAGATAAAAATTGACTCATCTGGCATATGCGGTGCATGTCAAGCTGGAAAACAGACCAAAACTTCTCATCCAGCACAACAGACTACAGCACAAGTTACTGCGTGGAACAGATCCACATAGATCATATCGGACCAACTCAGACAGAAAGCTTTGGAGCTGAGAGATACATTTTGGTATGTGTCGATGATTTTTCACATTTTTCTTGGGTAATATTTCTTATGGGGAAATTCTAAGCTCTTGGATAGGGATGACAATTCTACCCGCACCCAATGCGTTCCCCGCATCCCCGCCCCTACAGATTTTCAAATACCCGCATAATTTGGATAATGGGTGCGAGTATGGGGCGAAATTTGTATACCCGCGCGGGTATGGGGGCGGGTACGGGGAGAGGTATCCTCGCCCCGCACCCGCACCCACACTTATATATATTGGTATTAGTATTCATTTATTATATAAGTTTATGTATATTTTATAATTAAAATGCCTATTGAATTAAACGTCTTAATTTTTTGTTAATGAAAATTGAAGAGGAATTACACAAATAACATAAAGAGTAAACATTTAATACATTTTATACTACAAACACAATTTTAGTTTCAATTAAGGATTAACTTCATTGGCTCTTATTAAATTTTAGAGTTATGTTCAAACTTATAAAAAAATCCATGTGATAATTAGAAGTGTAATATTAATAATTAGAGTTGCGGGTTGGGTATTACCCGCACCCGCAAAATCCCCGCAGGGGTGGGTATGGGGGTATGAATTTTATTACCCATGCGGGTGCGGGTGTAGGTGCGGAGAGTAGGTTGGGAATGCGGGTGCGGGGGCGGTGGATATATCCCCCGCACCCACCCCGCCCCATTGCCATCCCTATTCTTGGAGCGTTCAAAACCTTGGGATTAAAGTTGCAAAAATAGAAAAACGAACAAATTGTTCGTTTTCGAAGTGATTACGGGTGAGAATTTGACAATAACTTGTTTAAAGAATTTTGTAACCAATACTGAATCACTCACGAGTATTCAGCACCAAAAATCCCTCAACAAAATGGAGTCGTTGAATGAAAAAACCGCACTATCCAAGAAATGGGCTGAGTACTACTTAATGCTAAAGGATTACCCCAAAAGTTCTGGGCAGAAGTTGTAAACACTACGTGCCCTGTCATAAATCGAGTCTATCTTCGACTAGGCAAAAATCAAACTCCGTATGAATTGTGGAAAGGTAAGAAGCCAAACATCAAATATTTTCACATTTTTGGCTCATGTTGTTTTATTTTGAAGGATAGAAATCCTGTTGCAAAATTCGAACCAAAGAGCGACTAAGGGATCCTCCTTGGTTACTCAACAAACAGTCGGGCATACCGAGTATACAACAAAGTAACCAAAACCATTATGACAAACATTGTGGTCGATGATCAACCTGATGATGTTTTGGAAATTCCGCAACTTGAATCAGTGTCAGAACCTGATCCAAATCGTCCAGAATCCTCTGAGTCAGGTCCAGAGCCTTCTACGTCAACTCCTACACCGGCTCAACTTGATCCAGAACTAGAGCCAGAATCTAATTCGGACCAGAATGAAATAGATATACCAACTCACATCCAGAAAGACCATCCAATTCAAAATGTCATTGGAGATTCCCGTTCCAGTGTCAAGACTAGAGGAAAGCGAAAATGTGATTATCTTCAACTAGCCAAATATGCCTGATATACGTCAAAAATTGAACCTAAAAATGATAAAGAAGCCCTGACAGATGAACGCTGGATCAAGGCCATGCAAGAAGAGCTAGGGCAATTGAAGGGGTCGACTACGATGAGACGTTTTCCCATTTTGCTCATCTAGAATCAATTCGTCTACTTCTCTCTATTGCATGTGCTTTAAAAATAAAACTCTTTCAGATGGACGTTAAGCTGACCTTTCTAAATGGCTATCTAACCGAAGACATCTACGCTGCTCAGCCAAAGGTATTTGAAGACACACATCACCCAGACTATGTGTACAAGCTAGAAAAAGCCTTGTAAGGCCTTAAACAAGCCCCAAGAGCTTGGTACGAAAGGCTCACCCAATATCTCCTTCAACATGGCTATAATCGAGGGGGAGCTGACAAAATACTGTTCATCAAACGATCAGGTAAACACTTAACTATTGCTCAGGTTTATGTTGATAACATCGTTTTTGGATCTACATAGACAGGTGCGACAGACCAACTTGTCAACGTCATGCAACAAGAATTTGAAATGAGCATGATCGGTGAGTTCACCTATTTCCTAGGATTACAAGTCAATCAGTCAAGTGAAGGAATTTTTATATCGCAAGAAAAATACGCAAAGAATCTTCTAACAAAATTTGGCCTAGAATCATCTAAGGACGCTAGAACTCCTATCTCAACTACCACAAAACTGTTCAAAGATGAAAAAGGAATCCCCGTCGATCCTACGGTATACTGAAGTATGATAGGAAGTCTATTTTATTTAACTGGAAGTAGACCGGATATTATGTTAAGTGTCGGCATGTGTGCGATATACCATGCCAATCCAAAAGAATCACATCTGAAAGCTGTGAAACGTATCATAAAACACGTCAAAGGTACGCTAACTTACGATATTTGGTACTCAATTGATACTAATCAAAGTCTTGCAGGATTTAGTGGTGCCGATTGGGCCGGAAATTCAGACTACAAAAAAAGTACGTCTGGAGGTTGTTTTTTCATCGGCAAAAACATAGTTGACAGGCTAAGTAAATAGCAGAATCCAATTTCGCTCAGTACTGCGGAAGCCGAGTATATTGTAACAAGAAGTTGTTGCACATAATTACTCTGGATGCGTCAAATGTTATCTGACTATAGCCTAAATCAGAACTGCATGACCCTCTATTGTGACAAAACGAATGCCATCAACATCTCCAAAAATCCAGTTCAGCATTCCAGAACAAAACACATTGACATCCGTCACCACTTTATTCGGGAACTCGTTGAAGAAAAAGAAATAAATCTAAACTACATTTCCACCGAAAAATATCTGATAGATTTATTTACCAAACCTTTGCACATTTCGCGATTTGAAATGCTTAGGGCAGCTCTTGGCGTATGCAATCCTTCAATTTAAGTGAACTAAAAAAAAAATTAAAAATTTAAGGTAAGTTAAATAAATTTTCTTTATTTATTTATTTTTTTTTTTTGCAGGGCTTGCACACATCTCCAAACTTCAATATTCCTCTTCATTAACCAGAAGTAGTAGTAATTCAAAAGTGATATCCTAATTGTTCTCTACTTCTAGTCTTCTACTAGTCAAAAACTAATTCTCAAACCTATCTAAAAAATTCAAAAACCCTATAATCTAGCCTTTATTTAAGACCCTCCCATCACCTTCCTTTCCTACCTATCTCATCCGCCATTCACTACCCAAGCATTAAACACAAATTAATTTTTTTTTCTTTCTTCTCACTGTTCGAGACCACCACCACTACAATTCATCTTCTTCCTTTCGCTCCTTCACCATAGCCAACACCTCTCCACAGCTCTCAAATGGCGAGCCCGTTTGAAATCTTTACCCAAAATCAGAGAGACATGCCCTCTAAAAACAAATTATTGACGGAAACTCTCCCCTTACTCATGATTCCGAAGATCGGGTCTTAGCCTCTATCCTTCAACGTCCAGAACTCATCAAAGATCTCACGACCAAGTAATCACACCAACTTCGTTCTCTTGCCCGGAACTTGTAACACCCCGGATTTTACGAATATTTAAAAGCTTAAATAAGAGATAAACGATCTAATCATTAATCATAAATGAGCGGAAACAAAACTCTTAATCGGGAAAGTGCTATGCCACACCCACAAATCTACGGGTGCACAGGCTAAGTCTAACAGAATCATCATAACATAACAGCAATCTAAGGCACACAGGCCAACAAAACTAATCGAAAGGAAAGGCAAGATTACGCTAACTAGATCCACTAGCGCGCTCTCCAAGCTAATCATAACCTGAAAAACATAGGGATAACACCCGTCAGCGAGAGATGTTGGTAGCCCACCAATACGCGTTAAGTAATATAATATATAGTGTTAGGAATAAAGTGTAATGGTTTTGATATGCCAAATTTGTATTTGTAGATCCCCCAATTTTATTTCATAGGTCTAGTAGAGTCTTAGACCATGATCGGGAAATTATTTAATTATCAAAAGAGAAAAACAGAGGAAAATGGATGAAAATAGAAGAAGAAGATATAAAGCCGAAAATCAAGAATTTGTCTGGAGAAAATGACAAATTGAAGAAGAAGTTGAATGATATGAATTCACGCCGCTACTACTCAAAGAAGATATCCCAGAAGAATTTTCGTGTGAAGAAAATTAATATTGGAAGAATGCATGAAGTTGACTTGGAGATCAAGCATCTATGGAAAGAAAGAAGTACATCAAATATGATTGGAGATTTAATCAAAAGCTGTATGGATGAAGTGGATGATGCTTGATATATTATTTGAAATGGCTCAAGTTCAAAACTCACCATCAACAATTTTACAAGGCAAAATTTGAGAAGTCAAATTAAATTAATCTGATGGAGTTGGGCGCCGATTACAAGTGGAAATTGGGAAGCAATTTCACTTGGGTGGCAATTGAGATGCAATTGCACTTGGGAGCCGATTTCATAGAAATTGAAATTGGGAGCTAGTTCGAAGCAATTGAAATTGTGAGCCAGTTTCAGAGAAATTGAGATTAATTGAAATTGGGAGCTAGTTCAGAGAAATTGAAATTGGGAGCAAGTTTCAAATGGAATCAATTCAAGTTGGCAATGCAATTCAGATTGGGGACCAATTAAAAGAAGACATGCAATTCAGATTGGGGACCAATTAAAAGAAGACATTGAGGAGCAATTGAATTGAGATGAAATTCAAAGAGAAGTCCAATTTTGAAGTCAACATTGAGAAGTAATTGAAGCACCAGGAGATGTTGGGAGCCAATTGCAAGTCAAAGTCAATTGGGAGCCAATTACAAAGGAGAAATTCAATTTGGGTGCCAATTACAAGCCAATTGAAATTTTGCAAGTCAAAGTCAATTGGGAGCCAATTACAAAGGAGAAATTCAATTTGGGTGCCAATTACAAGCCAATTGAAATTGGGTGTCAATTACAAAGGAGAAATTCAAATTGGGTGGAAGTTCAAAGCCAGTTTGAAGTCTGAGAACACCCAGACGTGAGAATGAAGAAGATGAAGCAGAACTTACAGTGAAAAATATTCTCACAAGGAAAATACTAGTCTAACTAGTATGGGATTAAAATAAAGATTATTTTTGAATCCCAGAGATACAAGGACCACTTCAGAGCTAATCAGAGAAGCCACTCTACACCAAAACTAAGACCCAGATATTTCCATTCAACGTTAAAACAGAGGAATATCAGATGAAGTTTGGGAGCTCATTTACATGGAGATGAAGATCTTTCAAACGGCTAGCTTATCTCTTTCTGACATTTTTGCAGAAGATAAGATAAGATCTCTGACATAGGAGCGTCTCTTTCCAACGGACGAATTCTCATCACCAGCTATAAAATGATGAAGATGTGAAGACTTGAAAAAACACAGAGCAGTAAATAAGAGCATAAGAGCATACAACGAACTCAAAAATAAGAGAGCAGAAAATTCGAATCCATCAAAGGATCGAATAGAGCAATTAAGCTTAAAAGAGCTAAAATCTTCAAGTGTGAGAAAAAGAACTCAGAGAGCTTCAAGAGAAAAATATTTAGAGAGTTCTTAAGCAGAGCAAAAATATCAAGTGCTTTACTTGATATATTCAAAGAGAGAAAACACTCAGAGCTGTCAAGAGAAATCATTCCAGAGTGTTTATCTTCATCAAAGAGACCTGCGCATCATTGAAGATCATCTACAGAGTCTCAGAAGTTGGAAGCAAGACAACACTTGTTTTGGAGCAAAACAAGAGAAGGGAGGAAAGTAGCACGGAGCTGTGAAATCCTGGATTGTCACACGGAGCTGTGAGATCCGAAGCAGCAGTGTCGGAGGCACTGGGCGTGATTGGTGTGGGCTTGGTGATCAAAGCACCAGATCACGGGATACGTTTCTACCGGAGTGTGGAAGACGGGGGGAAAGTAACGCGGAGTCGTGAAATCCTGGGATAGTAGCGCGGCGACGTGAAACCCGAAGCAGCAGTGTGGTGTCACTGGGCGTGATTAGTGCGGGCTTTGTGATCAAAGCACTAGATCACGGAAATTCATTGTATCTTGGAACCAAGGAGTGGTAGATATAGTGAATTGGCTCTTGGAGAAAAGAGCAAGTGGAGTAGGAGGATTACACCACCTCACGAACCACTATAATTGTCTTGTGTTCTTTACTGCTTTCTTTACATACCGCTCTTTACATATATGCTCTCACGAAGATATACTGCTCACACAATCTCACACACACTTTATGTTTATTTATTTCCGCTGTGCACCATACTCTAACAATCTAGTTAAGAGTTTTGGTTTATCTCTGTCTTAGCAATTGTTGTGCTGTGCGAAAAAGTTTGAAAGTCTATTCACCCCCCCCCCCCCCCCCCCCTCTAGACTTTCACCTTACCTCTTTTGGGACCAACATATAGATATATTCAAAACCATTTGAGACAAGGGAATACAGTATATATCATTTCAAAGCCAAAAGAAGGAAACGTCAAGGAACACAACCCACACTCTCAACAAAGACTAACGACCACAATACACAAGTCAATAAGGACCACAATCAACATACTCAACGAGAACCACAATCAACATACTCAACAAGGACCACAACCTACCATCTTAATGGTAGAGTTCCCAACAGACATGCTCATAAGAAATAAACACAACAATCACATAATGACAAGTTTCACGTTCCAACCTTATGCCCTGTTCCAACCTTATGGCTACCCCCGGCCTTGTTTCAGTTCCAACCGTTACCTCCAAGTGTCACCCTTTACTTCTGAGTCCAACCTTATTCAGCCTGGGACCGTCGTCCCCCACCAATCTTTACCACCAATCTCATAGTATTACCACTGATCTCTCAGTACACGAGGGTACCATTAAATAACACAATATTACCACTGATCTCGTGACCAAGGCTTAAACAATATTACCACCAATCTCATTCATAGTTACGCATAGTCATTATCAAGAGGATTGAGGCTCATCAAAAGCCCAATCAAGCATCAACAAAGGGTACAATCAAATATACAAGATCACATCATACGATTGCCAAAAACAATGATAGACATGAAACAATACTCAACAAAAACAATTGACTTCAATCCAATATCAACACGATTGCCAATCCTCAAAGGAATGGACAAACAACGCATACTAGCATCAAAGACAACATATCTAGCATGCTCATCAAACGGGTAAACCAAATTGGTTTCAACGAACCTCAAAGACTCACATAAATCCAACGAATCACAAAGTTGGACCATAAGCACGATTCAAGATACCAAATCCTAACATGAATACTTAGGACATCGTTCTAGACATACGAAACATCAAGGAGACACCCAAAAGCTCAACAATCCAACAAAAGGAAGTCAAAACATCACATACCAAAAGATGGAACCACGGGAAAACAACACCCAACATTCCACCATCAGTGTACCCTGTGGGTGGGTCCCTACCCGCAGGGTACAATAATACCACCCGCGGGTAGGGCGGCAGGTAGACATCTGCCCGCCGTTCCGCCCGCGGGGAACATCACGATCCAACAATAATTCCCTTCAGGAAATTTCATCAACAAAGCCAAGTTCAAGTCCAAAACACCCCAAAATCTCACATTCAACAAGGAAATGACTTGAACCCAAGAATAGATCAAAGAATAGCACTCAAGAGACCTAGATACAAGCTCTAAACATGCATTATCACAAGATCATGCATCCAATCTCACATTTACACCAAGAATCATCAATAGAAGTCAAGAATCATCATATCAAGTAGAAAATAGGTTTTGTATAGCATGGGTTACCTGTGTAGACCAAAACCTTCTTCCTTTCAACCCTCCTAAGCCCTACTTGGAAGCTTTTCTTCCTCACAACCTTCTTTCACAAGCCAAACCACAAGAAAACACCAAGCTTAGATAAAGACACCTTAAAGCTAACCAAAACACTAAATAACTTTACATCTTACCCTTTCCTAAGCTTGGAAGATAGGAAGGTGGAATCTTGGGATGAATCTTTGCAAGATTGGGTGAGGTCTTTCTTGGCTTGGGAAAGAAGCCAAGTTTCTTAGAGAGAAGGGAGAGAAAAGTTGTCTTGCTATAGTGAGGGAATGAACTTTAGGTTTGGGTAGGGTAAGGCTTCAAGACCATGTAAGGAGAAAAGACCATTTTACCCTTACTTTTCCTGGAAAGGCTTAGGAAGACTCCATGGAGTTAGGTACAACCAACAAGGCTAAAGGTATAACTCTTTGACTTAAATCAATTGACCAAGGAGTTGGTCAATTTTGGTCCTTCGACTATCAATTTAGGAAATTGATTAGGAGATTAGCAAGGATAATTTAGGATTAGTTACCCAATTAATCCTATTTAAAGGATAGGATTTTCGGGGTGTCATTAAACGTCACGGCTGAGCCGTGGCCAGTCACACCGGAGACAGATGACAGTGACTCTGAACCGGCCTCTCCAACGGCTTCTGCCGAGGTCCATCCACCTCAAACTATGGTATCTTCTTTGCATATATCAGTAGTGGGTACATCGTCATTACCCGTCACTAGGAAGCTAGATGTGTCTCTTAATTTGCCTGAGAAATTTATTTCTTCTATGCCTTCTGAAATTTTCTGTGCTAATTCTCCACCTGGTGACCCTTATGATTCGGCTACTCATGGCTTACCTATGTCTATTACTTCTGAACTGTTAATGTTTGATAATATGTCTATACTATGCCTAAATTGGTAGCCTTATATGAGTTTATGCAATCTGTGCCTTGCAACTTTGCATTCGAAATATATATCAGTATGGTAGCATGCCTCATGTACCTATGCATTGTTCTGCATTTAGTATTCCTGTGTTAGTTTCTACACCACCTTTTATGTCTGCGGATGCTCCTGTTCATGTGGTTAGTACCAAAGAGCCTGTTCCCATTATTCCTGTTAGAAAATGCTCATTTTCAGGTACTATTGAGAAGCGGGAACATGGTTGCCTTGATGAGGTCAAAATTATTTCTGCAACTAAACAACAAAGATGGAGCACAGTTCTTCCCCCAATGATAACGCGATCACGTACTGGGTCTGTTCCAGCAGCTCCAAACCCAGCTTCTACGTCTGCTTCGTCTAGCTCTCGGCCAAAGAGGTCCAAAAAATGTTACCGACCTATAATGCTATCTCCTGCTTTGAAGGATGACTGGGAAGTGCATTAAAAAGGGAATTGAATCTCGAAAAATCAATAAATGAAGAAGATCTGATCACAAAGTGCAACATCATTCCCCTTCTGAAGGATCAACAGTTGTTCTCCAGTCTACAACAATCGGACCTTATTCAGCTTGGTTGACGACCGAGTTCTACACTAATCTGACTATGGACACATTCACTGCCGACTCATTTTACTTTCATCATGTTTTTCTCCGAGACAGATGGTATCCCTTTAGACCTAAGGAGATAAATGATTTTTTCGATCGACTTGCTCAAGCCCAATCTGCTGATCCCAGTTTGAATCTTTTAGCTGTTGCCTTAACACACAATCGACTCGACAGATTGCCTGGCCAAACACTGGTCTAAAAGCTCAAGAGTTGACAACAATTTATTCTGTACTTCTTCGGATCGCATAACCAAATTGGATCCCAGCTATCGGACCGCATCTTGTTTCTGAGCAGCTTGCTCTCTTGCTGTTTAAAATACACAATCGTCAGTCTTTTAACCTTGGAGAGATCATCTTTTCCCATATCATGACCTTTGTGAAGAAGAAAGAAGTTAAGATTCATCTTCCTTATCCCAGCTTGATTTATGGTGTGTTAAACAATCATGGTTTCAAGCCTTACAAAGATGAAGTCGTGACCAAAAATGGCAATACTTATGTATTTGATTTTGATGATAAGCTTGCTCAAAGTTTACACTATGATGACCGGGCCTCTCTCAGTGCACCTCCTGTTCCTTTGGTCCCTACACCGCCTCGGCACCGGCTTCCTTCTCCGAGACTGAATCTGCACCTATTTCTGAGTGCCTAAGGAACGGCCTACACTCCTAGCTCGCCGTCAAATTTTTGTCACAAGTCAAGCTTCTATAGCTCAGCTTCGTAGTTCCGTTGTCTCTCAACAAGCCACTATCTCCGGATAGGAAAAACTTTTAGAGGATCAGCTCATAGAGATCTCCCGACTCGAGGCTATTCATGCTCACATTCTCACAGCAAGCAAAGGTGATGGTACTGACTCTGGAACGGATGATGATGATGCGGATTCTTCTCAATCGGGCACCCCGTCTGCACGATGATTCTTTCCACTATGATGTTAACCATTCTATTTGCCATTTATTTTGGCACAAAAGGGGGGAGAAATTTTGGTCGGTTAATAAGATAGGGTGAGTAGTTTGGAATATGTTATTGGTTGGTTGGATTTTGATTTCGGATGGATTTCTGATTGCTACTTTTGGGTGATTTTCTAATTGCTGCTTTGGTATGTTATCTTCTCTATAATCTTTTTGGGACATCTTTGCTATCTACAAGTATATTATTTAGGAATTTAATGGATGATTATGCTTTTATTTAGCTAATCTTATCTTGCTTATGGATATTTTGGACTTTCCCTTATTGTCTTTGCTATCTACAAGTATATTATTTAGGAATTTAATGGATGATTATGCTTTTATTTAGCTAATCTTATCTTGCTTATGGATATTTTGGACTTTCCCTTATTGTCATATTTCTCTATTGGGTCATATTATCTCTACAGTATGGGTATGGGACATACGGATGGAGAACAATCTAATTTGGCTTGGTAAATGTGTTTTTTTTTGGTGTCAACCCACACTTTGTAGTCCGGGTCTTTCTCTGTCCGTTTAACGGTCCAGATCCACCCGGTTCGCTCCAAAAGGCCCAGAAGCTGGCCCAAAGGGGATTGTCACTTGTGGGAATTGAACTCAGGTTCATCCCAGAATTCTCCCCCACAAATCGAGCTCATTTGCCACTTAAGCTACCCTGTTGGGTTGACTGGCATTGGTAATGTTTTGTTTCTTAGGTTTTTTGTCAAAGCATATATACTAAGGGCTTTTTTCCTTTAATAAAAATATAAAATCAATTGACATATCTATTTTAATTCATTTGACGGTTGAAATTGATGCATGGGTGAACTACAATTGACCGTGGAAAAACAACTAATTTAATTCACCCAAATAAAAACATGAGTGAATTAAAATTTCAAAGTAAGAACTATTCTTCATCATATCGTTACCTATACGCTCTCATATCCATTACTTAGCTTTCCCCTAGATCCTACGTTCATACCCAAAAATGTAATTCTTTATCTATCTATTTAAACTCCACAATCCCATGCAAGTAAAATCACCCCAGGCCAGGCCAGGCCATTATATTTCTCCACATATATATTTCCTATCTGGTCTCTGCGGGCCAATCAATATAATCTGCCTAATTAACAACATGGCATTTATGGAGAGGTATCGTTCAAATATAAAAGTAATTATTAATAATTAATAATTAATGGGGGATTATTTGAATTGAATTTGCATTGTGGCAGATCGAAGAGTAATTACTAATTATAACGGGAAGTGATCGAGGGGGAAATCATTTTCTAAATGTATGTTGATTATATTATCACCATGCATGTTTAGTACTATAATTACTCTTTAATTATGTATTGTACGTGGAGATATATAAATGGATTACATTTTTACTCATCATCAGGTCATCGTTGTTTCTCTACTTTCTTAATTTATTTTCATCGATTAGCATATATTATAATAATAATAATGTTAATATTGAAGGAGGAGTGATACCAATGAGGGCTTGAAATATCTCATTCAGTGTCATATCACCTAAAAGAGAATTGAATGAAATGTCTTCAAAAAGAAGAAAATAAGCTATAAGCTCCTAGCTTAGCGTTGCCAAACAGAGCCTATAAAATTTTTTATAAGATAACAAACTCAATTTTCGTGAATTACAATTTCAAAATGCTATTATTCATTACTTAAAAGGCAACAAATTATAATAAATAATTTATAATAACAATTAATAAATTAAATGAATTATGAATTAATGTAATTGGAGGAGATAAATAATAGCAAGACAACAAAAGAGGGATGAACACTCCTTTGACAAGGAACAAAGAAAAAATGTATTATGAATAAATGTTTATAGATGTGTAACGAATAAATGTTTATAGATTTTGGTGATGTTGAGTAGAGATGTTTCACCGGAAGTTTCAAGACTCGTCAGAAGGAAAGGAGTCGAAAGGAATGGATTCAAAAGAAATTGAAGCTATCGGGAGTGTCATTTCAAGGCTTCCATAAAGAACCTTTTACGACATTTTGTGTTTTCACCATTCTCTCTAAGATGAAAAGGAAGATGATTAGTTTTGGAAGGAGTTCATAGACACTACTGGAAATCTTTGATTTTTTGACTACCTACAAAATGGTAGAAAAAAAGTGACATTTTTCCAATTTTTCGTTGAAGGGGTGGGGAAATAGGTCAGAATTTTACTTAGTGGTCGGAATACCAACCACAATGTAAAAGTGGTAAAAAAAAAATTCGGCAAATTTAAACTGAGTTAGGAATTTCTGTCAATCTTATGCTATATTTTACCACCTTGTCCGTAGTAAAAAATAAATGCGAAAGTTTTTCCGGATATCAAAAGTGGTCGAAACAAGGGTTTCCGACTTGACTTTCCTTTTTGTTCGGTTTATTACAAAATAATAAATTCAGTTCTTGCGGTTGGACTTTATTATGAGTTTTTGAAAAAGAATTATTAGGAACATTACACAACTTGTTTGATACCTACAGATCTACACAAAAAATTGATGATGAGTAGAAGGTTTCTTTAAAACCAAAAGTGTGCTTATAATACATTGAAAGGAGGGAAATGATCGTTACCTGGTTCTCAACCTACTTAAGGATTTGGCAGGAAAAATGCAGAAAGACAACAACAGTTTTTGACAAAAGTGTTTTCTATTGTGTAAAAGACAACAGTTTTTTCCAAAATCGTTGTCTTTGACCCAACATTTTTGTCAAAGACAGTAGTTTTTACTGAACCGAAAATGCAGCAAAAGACAACAGTTTGATCTCTGTGTGTTTTTTTTAAATTGTTGGTTTGATTTATCTGTTGTCATTGATTTGTTGTCTTTTAAGCGCACTTTGAATACAAACATTTCTACAACGACAATTTTAAAAGTCCATTGTCTTTGGGCTTTTAAAAAAAAAAAAATAAAGACAATGATTTTATTTGTCCGTTGTCGTTAGTATGTTGTCTTTTTAAGGACAATGATTATTTTTAAAGACACTTTGATAATTAGTTTTTACTATATACGTATACTTAGATGGTTATATTTTAGATAATTGCTTAATTTGGAAGAAAATTGAAAACTTACTTGGAATTTTTTTTTTTTAATTTGCTAAATTAGATATGTTATTATTTCTTAAAGAAAGATAAAATAATTAGTTTTGATTTCCCTTTCTTTAAACACACGTTGAGTACACAACACTTCAAAAATAATGGTCTTTTAAAAACATTTTCTTTTTCTTTTAAAAAAAAAAGACAATAATTTTATTTATCCGTTGTTGATTAGTGTGTTGTCTTTAACCACACTTTGAATGCACACCACTTCTACGACAACTGTTTTAAAAGTTCGTTGTCTTTGTGTGCATTTTTTAAAAGGATAAAGGTTAAATTTAAACGACACTTTGATCATTATGTTTTACTATATATTTAGACGATTATATTCTAGATACGTACTTAATTTAGAAAAACATGAAGACTTAGAAAAAAAAACTTACTTTAATTTTCTTAATTAGATATATTATTTTTTCTTTAAAAAATAAAAATAAAAGAAAAAAATAATTAACTTCCTTCTCTTAAACACTTAGAAAAAAACACTCTTCCCTCTCAAACAAAAAAATTCTCCCCTCGCTCCCTTAGCCTTCTTAGCCTTCCAGCCTCCCTTTGTGTCAGCCTTCCCTCCAGTTAGTAAGCCGACGCCTAAGCTGCAAACCTCTTTCTGTAGTCGTCGCTCCGATCCTCCACCAAAGTCGCCTCTTCTCACCTCTGCCGCCGTCGAGTCTGCGAACTCTACTTCCAGTCACCGTCACTCCTCAACCAAAGTCGCCTCTTCCCGCCTCTGTCGCCATCACCGTCCTTCACGTTAGTTCTTTGTCAATTTTTTTTTTTGTTGTATTACTCAAATCTTAAACCCTAATCCCTAAATTCCTAATTCCATTTATCCCTATTGATCTCATAATTTCATTAAGTCTATATCCCTATGTTTTTCCTACTCTGTAATTTTATTGTTGAATTTTCCGTATTTGAATTAATATTGTTTCTCTTCTCTAATTACTCATTATTAGGTTATCCATTTCTAGTTAGTATGCCTAGAGAACGGCCAAAAGAAAATGTATGTATTTATTGGATTCATTGCCTTAGTCTTGGTCTTACATTCTCTCTGAATACTTGTAGTGGATGAATTAATTATAATATAGATATGTGTTGCAGAGCATCAAACTTGGCAATATGGATTCTGCTAAAAAAATGGAAATTGAGATGAGTTTTAATTTGTGATTTAAAATTTGGGGAGCTACTGCATTCCGGAATTTCAGGATTTGTGGCAAATTCAGATTTTCAGGATTTGTTGCAGCTTTTGGACGACTACAACTTGCTGAGTGATAATATGCAAATTCAAATTTCAAGTACGCTCTCACTCCTTCACATCTATAAAAGGAGGACTCCTTGTTTAGAAGAAAGTGTTGGAAAACATATTATCGTGCTATCTATTGATGAAAAGCTAAGACGAATCACTCTGATTTTTTCATGAAAATGCTCCATTAATTTTGAATGCAAGATGTAACTTATATTTCTACTTGATTTTATGTTATGCAACATTTGCGTTCATTAATTAGTTTCGTTAAGCAAATATAAGTAACGAAAATAGAGCGCATAAAATAAAACAATAACACAAGAGAATTGTTACGCAGTTCGGAGCGCTTCTCCTACCACTAGTACAAAAAATATCAATAAAATCGTATTATTGGCGTCCAAAAGTAGAACTTTGGACTCCTAAAGTGTAATGCGGTGGCATTTTTGTAATTAAAATGTCAATTTTTATTTTTATTATTATTATTTTTTAAAATTAAAATGAATAGGCGTCCAAAGTTGTACAATTTTGGACTCCTATTAGTAATCCGTCTAAAAGGTAAAATAATAGGCGTCCAAAGTTGTAGAGCTTTGGACTCCTATTATTAAACCGCTCAAACAATTGGCGTCCAAACTGTGTAACTTTGGACTCCTATTATTAGAGTTTCTTCTTCAGATGCAGCAAAAATGGGACACAAACCCTCCACCACTCCAAACAACTCCCCACCACCACTCCAAACAACTCCTCCCAGCACTGCAGTTCGTCGCCGGCGCCACTGGTCTTCTCCGTAGCAACCATCGCCGTCCGTTGCCGCCGTCCGTCACAGCAGATCCGTCGCCGCCGTCCGTCACAGCAGATCCAGCGCCGCCGTCCGTCACAGCAGATCGAGCGCCGCCGTCCTCCACTCCTCCATCGCCGTCGTCTCCAGCCCCGGTCGTCGTCGTCTCCAGCGTCTCCAGCCCAGCCGCGTCGTCTCCAGCCCAGCGCCGCCGCCACCGGTCGTCGTCTCCAGCCCAGCCGCCACCGGTCGTCGTCTCCAGCCCAAAGCCGGTGCCCACGCCGTCCGTCGCCGCTGCCCAGGCCTTCCTCCGTCGCCGCTGCCCACGCCGTCGCCGCTGCTCACGTAGGTTCGTATTTTGTTTTTTTTTTTTTAATGATTTTAATTTATTAATTTGATATATGTTATTATATGTTATTTTTTTATAATTATTATTTGTTATTTGTTATTTAATTTATTAATTTGTTATAAATATTATTTGTTATTTGTTATAATTATTATTTGTTATTTGTTATAATTATTATTTGTTATTTGTTATTATAAATTAAAGTTATGATATTTGTTAGAAAATGTTTACTGTTAAGGAATTATAATATTTAATATATTTATAAATTTCCATGTATGTAGATGTATATTAGAAATTACAAAAAAAAATTTAAAAATTAAAATTAAGAGCAAAAGAAGCATTTTTTAGAGAAATTAGAGGGCCAAACCGCCTAAAGTTATGCCTTCACGAACTTTTAACACTTTACGGAAGTAAAAAAGTTAAGTTATAATCTAATTAGTATGTTCTGCCCAAAAGAGTAAAAAAAAAGACAAATATATTGTATATTTATAATTATACAAATTAATTTAGTAAGTAAACCTATTAATTATTAATATGTTTTAAATTTATTAATTTGTGTATTATGTATATAAATGCATACGAATTTGATTATGTTTATAACAAATATGTTTTTGTTATATGGATTTATATATAAATATGTTTTTTAAGAAATATATGTATTCTTAGTTTACTTTAGATTAATTATGGATTGTATTTTTATGAATTATAGGAGATATGGATCGGAGTTGGATGTATAAAAAACGCAATACACTTGAATATGTTCATGGGGTTCAAGAGTTTATAAAAATTGCCGAGGATTATGCAAGTCAAATTGATGAAAATTATATAGTGTGTCCTTGTTATGATTGTAGAAATTTAAAAAAATTTCGTAGTTCTGAACCAATTAAGAGTCATTTGATACGTCGGGGTTTTAAGCCAGGATATGACCGGTGGATATGGCATGGTGAAACTGTACCTACTAGTGAGGGTACAAATCAAAGAAACTGTAGAAAAAATGTAGACAAAGATCAAAGTAATGAAGATAATGTTGGAAATGATGGAGACAATGACCGGCTAGATGAATTGATGCGTGATATGCAAGGGGATTTGAATGAAATGCCTCAAGAGTTTGAAAGTTTTTTTGAGAGTTCTGGAAAACCTTTGTTTTCTGGATGTAGTAAATTTACAAAGTTATCGGCAGTGCTTAAATTGTATACCGTAAAAGCAAAAAATAGGTGGAGTGATAAGAGTTTCACGGAGTTATTAGAGCTTTTAAAGGGCATGCTTCCTAATGAGAATGAACTTCCTTGTTCAACTTATGAAGCAAAGAAAATGTTATGCCCGTTGAGTACGGAGATTGAAAGGATCCATGCATGTCCAAATGATTGTATTTTGTATTGGAATCAATACAAAGACATGCATGTTTGTCCGAAGTGTGGAGCATCACGTTATAAACGAAAAGGGCTTGATGATGCATGTGACCACCAGAAGAAAGGTTCTCCAGCGAAGTTGTTGTGGTATCTACCGGTGATTCCAAGATTCAAACGTTTGTTTGCAAATGCAAAGGATGCGAAGAATTTGCAATGGCATGCTAGTGGGAGAAAAGAAGATGGAAAGTTGAGACATCCTGCCGATTCTCCTCAGTGGAAGAACATTAATAAGAAGTTTCCTGATTTCGGTGCTGAAAATCGAAATCTTAGGCTTGGACTATGCACAGATGGAATGAATCCTCATGGTAACATGAGCAGTTGCCATAGCACTTGGCCAGTTCTTTTAACAGTTTACAATCTTCCTCCGTGGCTGTGTATGAAGCACAAGTACATCATGTTATCATTGTTAATATCTGGTCCTAAACAACCAGGAAATGACATAGATGTGTACTTGGCACCGCTTATTGAAGATTTAAAGATGTTGTGGAATGAAGGTGTGACAGTATTTGATGCTCATAGTCAAACCAACTTCACTTTACGAGCCATGCTGTTCTGCACAATCAATGACTTCCCAGCATATGGTAACTTGTCAGGGTATACTACTAAAGGGGCTAAGGCATGCCCTGTTTGTGAAGAAGAAACAGTTGATCTTTGGTTGAACAACAGTAGGAAAAATGTGTTCATGAGTCATCGAACCTTTCTACCTATTGACCATCCTTATCGAAAGAGGAAAAAAGCTTTTAATGGAAAATCTGAGACTGGAGTTGCTCGCTTACCATTATCAGGGGATGTTGTTTATGAAAGAGTCAAAAACATTAATAATGTGTGGGGGAAAACTTCAAAAACAAGTCAAAAGGGTATTTGGAAAAAGAGGTCTATATTATGGGATTTACCATATTGGGAGCATTTATCTGTTCGACATTGTCTTGATGTAATGCATGTGGAGAAAAATATTTGTGATAGCATTATCGGGACATTGTTGAATATTCAGGGTAAGACGAAAGACGGTATTAAAGCTAGAAAAGATATGGTAGAAATGGGGATAAGGACTCAATTAGCACCACAAGAATCTGGAAAGAGGGCATACTTACCTCCAGCTTGTTATACTCTGTCTAAAAAGGAAAAAACAAGTTTTTGTAGTTGTCTAAATGGTGTCAAGGTTCCTTCTGGCTATTCATCTAACATTAAAAAGCTTGTTTCAATGAAGGACCTTAAATTAGTTGGTATGAAATCACATGATTGGCATGTGCTAATGCAACATATGTTACCTATTGCTATTAGAGGCATATTACCTAACCATGTTAGACAAGCTATTACAAAGCTTTGCTACTTTTTCAATGCCATTAGTAGTAAAGTTCTTGATCCTGAGGTGTTGGATTCCATGCAAGCTGAGGTGGTAATAACTTTATGCCAGTTTGAAATGTATTTCCCCCCATCATTTTTTGATGTTATGGTGCATTTAACAGTTCACTTGGTGTGGAAAATTAAAATGTGTGGTCCTGTATTCTTGAGGTATATGTATCCATTTGAGAGATACATGGGAATTTTGAAAGGATATGTCAGAAATCGATATCGGCCAGAAGGGAGTATAATTGAAGCTTATGGCGCTGAAGAAGTCATTGATTTCTGTACTGATTATTTGGCTAATGTTCAGTCCATTGGTGTTTCTAAATCACGTCATGAGGGAAGACTCACAGGAAAAGGTACCATTGGGTTCAAAACACATGTCCCAAGTCAAATAATCTGAAATCAAGCACATTATCTCGTACTGCAACACCTTTCTGAGGTTCATCCATATTTGGAACAACACTTGTCTATTATAAGGCAACAAAATCCTTCTAAGGGTGAAATGTGGGTGACAAAAGAACACAATTGTACATTTATCACATGGTTCAAAGATACAGTGATGAAAGAGTTATCTCAAGTGCCAAATAATATCACTGAAACCATTAGGTGGTTAGCGTATGGCCCTGGATTAGTTGTGAGCACTTATGAGGGATATGATATTAATGGGTACACGTTTTACACAAAACGTCAAGATGAAAAAAGTATAGTGCAAAATAGTGGAGTGACATTAGTAGCACAATCAAGAGAGTATTCTAGTGCTAAAGATACTAACCCGGTAGATGCTACTATGTCATACTATGGAGTCATTGATGAAATCTGGGAACTTGATTATAAGGTGTTTAGGATTCCTCTATTCCGATGTTCTTGGGTTGATAACAGGCGGGGTGTTCGTGTAGATGATTTGGGTTTTACCTTAGTTGATTTTGGTCGACTAGGATATCATGATGAACCGTTTATACTTGCATCTCAAGCTAGACAAGTCTTCTATGTTTCTGATCCTATTGATAGTAAGTGGTCAATTGTCTTACAAGGCAAAAGAAGTATTGTTGGTGTTGGTGATGTTGTGGATGAAGAGGAATATGACCAATTTGATGAAACCCCACCATTTTCTATTGGTATTCAACCTATGGCTTTAGGTGAAGATAACATTGATACTAATTTCATGCGTACTGATCAAGAAGAAGGATTGTGGATTGACCATCCGACAGTATAATTTCTAAAATGTAATCTTATTATTTTTTTTATAACATGTTTATATTTTATAAGATGTTCTTTTTAACATAGTTATCTTATGCATGTGCAGGTATACAAATTCATGGCCGGGGCCGGCGATCACACAGATCCAATGGTAGAGGAGCCTTCAAGGCAAACAGAGTCTAACAAAGTGCGTAAAGTAAGAGGAGCTACAACTTGCAATAAAATGAAAAAGAAGAAGCCAGATGATGAGACTATGTTAATTGAGTTCGATAACCTGAATAGGCCTATTGGCCCAAATGCAAGGAAGTACTCAAATTACCTTGGCATTTTGGTTCGTACTCACATAGACATTAACATTGATAAATGGTCTCAAGTCTCAAGCGGGGTTAAAGAAACGGTTTGGTATGATCTTAAGGTAATTTTATTTCATGTCCAATAATTTTATTTCATTTTATATATGTTAATGTTTAGAAAGGTCTAATTATTTGTTATTTTATTGTTGTTATTCAGAAAGAGTTTAATATCTCTGATGAAGAAAAAAGTAATATTTTGGAGCATGCGAGGAAACGTTGGAAAGATTTCAAATCAAGATTGGTGCGTGAATTCATCAATAAAAAGCACCATATATATAGCTCTCCCGTAGAGTTATATAGCTTCATGACTGAACAACAATGGCAGAAATTTGTAGAAAATCATCAAAGTGAAGAGTTCAAGGTACATTACATAATTTACTTGCTTACTAATCATGTTTTATTATTAGTCTTAAATGCTTTATTAGTATTAACCTACTATTTAATAATAAATTTTATTTTTAGGCCAAAAGCCAAAAGTTTAGGGAGTTGCAAGCGCGAAATGAGCATCCCCACTTTTTAGGACCTAGGGGCTATGTTGGAATGCAAGCTGAGTGGATGAAATGCGACCCATTGTCTTCACAGTCTTCTTGTGCTGCTATTACATCGACCATAGCATCTAATGATCGTAGTTTGGATTGGGTTCGAGCGCGATCTAAAAAATCTGAAGATGGAAGTTATTACATTCCCAACGAAAAAACAAAGGGAGTGTTTGATAGAATTGTAAGTAATACAAATACTTTAAATATATATTATTGATGAGAATGTTAGTTAACATGTAAATTTTAAATCTTGTTCGTGTTGAAATAGGTCGAGAAGTGTGAAGAGATAAGTCAAGGCTCATTCCAACCAAACAGACAAAATGATATATTGACATCAGCTATTGGCACCAATGAGTACGGTGGCTATGTGAGAGGTGTTGGAGTGCACGCCAAAATCCGGGATGTGTTTGGTAAACCGGATAGCATAAGTCGTGGGAAATCAGCTGGGGTTGTTTCAGTTAGTGATCTTGAGGAGATTGTGGAGAAGAAAATTTATGAGAAAGTGGCTGAAAAGATTAGAAAACAAACAATGGAAGATATGCAATCTAAGTTAGAAATAATGCAGTCTCAGCTTGAAAATATGATCAAGAATGCACAAGCAAGTCCAATGGTTGGCACACCAATTCGGAGCAGTTGTCATTCTATTGATCCATTAAACAACGTTCAGGTAATATTGAATATCTTTAATATTTTGTTCAATTTGAATATCTTCTACTTTTTATTAAGCCTTTTAATTTTTGATTTATAGGAAAATCCAAAACAAACAACAATGATGAATTTTGAAAGTGGGGATCAATCTACTGTAGAATTACGACCACTTCTTGTTGATGATGATACACTGCAGCACTTGGGAGATGAATCCAAAAAATTGGTCAGGCATCTTAAATACTTGCCTTCCAATTTAGATTACATTGACGTGGACCTAGAGAATGCAATCTTCCATCATTCACATGTGGAGTTCATTCACGTGTTGTTTGAAGATATTAAAGACATGTTCACGATGCAATGGCTTGATGTGACCATAATACAAATATTTATGTTGTAAGTATTTTTTATAATGTTTTTATATTTACAAACTTTTCTTTAGTCTTTCATTTTTATTAATTATCTACGTTGTAGATGTCTTCATCGGATGTGCAACAGAATTGGAGTGACTACAATTGGATTTCTCTGTCCAAGGACTATTTCTAGAGACAATGTAGTTAAGAATTCTGATGAGGTCACACAATATCTTTTGCATGCCCTGGATCAATTGAAGGATCGAAAGTTCATTTTAGCACCATACCATCAAGAGTAAGAAAACTAAATTTAAAATTTTAATTATTTATATAACGTAATTGAATTATTTGTGAATAATGTTTAACATATTTATTTAAATGCTGTAGAAATCATTGGATGCTTCTAGTGATTTTTGTTCAATCAAGAAAAGTCTATGTATTAGACTCTCGTGCATGTAAGCGCGAGTTGGAGATTAAGCCCACATTAAATGTGTAAGTATATATATTAAATGTGTAAGTATATATATATATTGAGAATTATTATCCATTATAGTTTATAAATTCTTTATGAATGTATATTATAGGGTATTTCGATCGGTTGTAAATTTAGGAGGGAGAAGACCTAAAAACAACGTTGCTTGGGATGAAATTGAGGTATATATCAAAAAAAAATATTAATATTTTTTACAATTTTATTAGTAATGTTTTTATTGTTTAACTTAATAATATATATACATAAAAACTCATTTTGTAGTCTCCTCAACAACCGGGTGGTGTGGAGTGCGGATATTATGTGATGAGATACATGTATGAAATATGCACTCTATATTCTGATTTTGAACATTTAGACACGGTATGTAAAATTTATTAAAACTAAATAGTTTTAAATTATACTTTATTAATTGTGAAACTAACTAATTGATTATTTTAAATTTTTGTAGGCATTTGATGCAAAGCCTTACTCACAAGAACAAATTGATGAGATTTGTGAGGTTTGGTCTAAATATTTTATTGAAGAATGCATATAACTTTGAAATGTTAAGAACTTTCATTTGAATTGTTGAGAACTTAGAAGTGTTGTGAATTTATGCATTGAAGTGTTGGTAATGAAGTTTAGTTTACTTTTTGTTGAGAACTTTGAAGTGTTGTGAATTTTGGCATTAAAGTGCTAAAGTGTTAGTAATGAAGTTTAGTTTACTTTGTGTTTAAACCTTTGAAGTGTTGATGTGTGTTGTGAATTGAATATATTGAAGTTTAGTTTACATATATATATGTTGTGAATGTATTTAGTTTGCTTAGTGCTAAAGTGTTGATAATTGTATATGTGTATTGAAGTTTAATTTAGTTTACATATATATATATATATATATATATATATATATATATATATATATATATATATATATGTTGTGAATGTATTGATTGAAGTTTAGTTCAATGCTTTGAACTCGCAGTATAGTGGTTGTGGCTGCATGTACAGGTTGTGAATGATAGTTTTGTACAGGAAAAAACTGGAAATTTTATCAAATAAATATAAAATAAAAAAATATATATATATAATAGGAGTCCAAAGTTCGTTGACTTTGGACGCCTATTATATTTAAAAAAAATAAAAAAAATACTTTAGGCGTCCAAAGTTTCGTAAACTTTGGACGCCTAAAGGTAATTTTTTTTAAAAAAAATACAATAGGCGTCCAAAATCAACGAACTTTGGACTCCTATTGTAGTTTTAGGCGTCCAAGTAACTTTGGACGCTGATTGTCTATGACAATCAGCGTCCCCTGCATAGGCGTCCAAGCAACTTTGGACTCTTATTGTCCATTTGCTTGGACGCCTATGACCTTTTCTGTAGTAGTGTACGTCTGCGGGGCAACCCACGTTTGCCCAATCCACTATAGATGTTCACCAAGGAGTATTACAAGAGGTAACTACAAATGGCTCACAACCTTTACCACTACAACCCTTCCTAACACCTATTCAGGACTGAACCATGCATGCCATAACAATCTTCAAAATAAGTTTCAGCAGTACCAGGTACAGATCATGTAACTCAGATTAAAAACTCTTAATAAAACGTAACATATAATATAGGCAGTTTAATTTGATAGCTTTGTAGAGAAAGTATGCACTCAGAATAGCAGTTCAAAATCGGAAACTTTCTCATTTGAGTGACTTCCCTTTTATAGCAAAGATTAATCAACACCCTTGATCCTTAATATTAGCTTTCCTCTTTTCTCGATAAACCACAGCCACACGCTTTATGTTTGGAGCCTCACTGTAATATTGTTGACTTCCCTTTCAGTTGTCAAAGCATGATATCCACTCAATTTAACTTTGGATGATAACAAGTGGTCCAAAATAGATTCAAACTAACTTAATTCTAATTTAAATCTAATAAGAACAACACTAAATAAATTAGCCAAACAAAGGTTAATGTGTACTAGAATTATACACTTACAATCTCCCCCTTTGGAAATTTATTTCGTAAAACTCTAGTATCTAATACTTTGGGGAAAAAACATAAAAAATCAGATTAGTTTTATTTGAAGCCCTTAGTATAAGTACTAAACACAGCTTAATGTAAAGAAAATAAACTTAGCTCTTTTTGGACCACGTGCCATCAATATACCTGTTCAAAACCATTGATTTTTTTATTGTTGAATATCCTTTGAAGAGAGACCAGAATACCACAAACACGAATAAAACAAACCTAATAGAAGCTGATAAGCAGTAGACGATACCACAATCAAAGATAGGAGTTTACCATAATACTTGTTCGTACGAGTAATAGTTCAAAAAATATACCAAACACATACCATTTGCAGCCATTAGATGTCATCCAAATATACCATAATTACTACTACTCCCCCTAACTTAGTGAGCCTTTTATTTCCAAAACAACTTACCCAAAAACAACTCCAACTCCCCCTTACTCCAACCCCCCCCCCCCCCCCCTTTGCCAAATAAATGACAAACCGAGCAAGGTGAACAATCAATATAGTGGATTAGATTAACGTGCAAACGGGGTGCCCGAAACCGAATCTTCATCATCGTCTTCAGTTTCTGAACTGGAAGAACCAGCGCCGGTATCTGCTAGAATTTGGGCATGAATCTCCTCCATGCGAGTGATTTCTTGAAGTTGTGCATCACGCAACTTTTCTAGGCCGGATATAGTCACTTGTTGAAAAGCTACAGAGTGCTGAATCTGCACAATAGAGGCTTCAAGGGTAACCACAATCTGTCTATGATCCACAAGTGTCTGCGGCTCCTTTGGTACGGCTTGGGAATCGAGAATAAAAGCTAATACGGTGTCTGCGGAAGAGGCTGGGGCAGATACTGGTGGAGTTGCCGTAGCTACGACAGGGAGCACAGTGAGTGAGGCACGATCATCATAGTGGTATTTCTGAGTGAGACAATCATCATACTGATAAACATTGTCATGAGCGGACAACAGTTACAACTTCATCCTTATAAGGCATAAACCCATGATCCTGAAGAATACCAAAAATCAGACTAGGATATGGTAGATGAACCTTGGTTTCCCTCTTTTTCAAAAAGGACATGAGGTGCGAAAAAATAATAACTCCAAGATTGAATGGGAGCCTGTTTATGATCTTGTAGAGTAATGTTGCCAGTTGATCTGAGACAAGGTGATGCCGAACTGCCGGTATATAGTTAGCTGATGCAAGGCAAAGGAGAACCGAGTAAACCGTGGTGAGTTTCAAACTCTTGAGACCAGTACTTGGCCAAGAAACTTCTTTGTTGTGCGTCAAAGCCGCAGCCAATATGTGAGGACTGGGATCAGGAACAACTTGATGATTAGGAGTTCCCAAGTAGGCATTAATTTCTGTCGGTCCAAACGGGTACCACTTATCCCGAATAAACACCTGTTGGAAATGTGTTGAACCTTCTATAAACGTATCCATGGTGAGATTGGTGTAAAATTCGGTAGTTAACCATGCAGAATAGGTCCCAACGTGTTGAAGTGAGGTAAATAAATGTTGATATCTTAGAATGGGGATAATGTTGCATTTTTCAGTTAACTCCTCCACATTGATGGATTTCTCTAGAATAAAATCTCGGTTGGAATGGACGTGCCATTCAGATGACAGTGCACAAGACAGAAAGATGGGCCTATATGACTTCTTGGTCCCTTTTGATTTCGAACCGGATGGAATAGATACATCTGGAGTTTCAGCAACACTTCGGGACCTAGTCATCCGATGTGGTAGTGTGGACACCCTCATTTGTTGCTTGCTTTCAGACACGATTTCCACATCATCCAAATTAGACAGTTTTCTCTTCTCAGCAGTACCTGAAATAGACAATTTCTCTTTCCCTTTCCGGGAAGGCTTCAACAAAGGTACAGTTATGATGGGGATAGAGTCATGGGTAGGTGAGACAGATAAAGGAGCATGCTCCGGTTTTGATAGAGGAGCAGGAATAGATATGGGGATAGTGAAAGCAGAACAAGACACGGGTAACACAGAGGCAGATATATGCTGAGCAATATTTCGGATAGAAAAATTTGAAGGTAAATAATGCATAAAATCAGGTAAGGCTACTAAATTTCAGTACTCCTAGGTAAATTATGAGTAGCTGGGTCATAGGGATCTTCGGGTAAAGGCAAAGAAAGAGCATTGAACTCATTACGAGGCAAAGTAGACACAAATTGCTCAGGCATAGAAACAGTAAAATCAATCTTTCGAGAGGCAGATAGAGAATGAACATTCTCTAGAGGAGAAGTAGACAAAGGAGATACCACAATTTGAGAAGGTGATCTAGACACTGTCTCGGGTAGAGGCGGAATAGACGCAACAGCTGTCTCGGTAGAAATTGGCCATAGTGCAGCGGTGATATGGTGAGCAAGAGCGCGAAGCTCGCAATTTTCTTTGTCCGTGAGTCCTTCAAGGAGGAAAAGATTTTGCTTGATGGTGGCAAGGACTCGATCCGTAGCTTCAGGAGAGATGGGAGAATCAGCATCTATAATTTTCCGGAAGAGATCTGCCCTTTCAAATGATGATACGAAGGTGATAAACGGATTTTCCATGGTTGAAGCTTATGATGGTAAACAATGGTGAGAAGATGAGAGGTTTAAGATGATGGTATGTGATCTCGGTGTAGTGGAGGCAAGAGATGGTAGACAAAAAAAATTAAATATTGAGATGATGTCTCTGTTAAAAGGCGTGTGGAGATGGGATGGCTAGAAGACTTAGATGTAGGCTTTTAAGTCTAGGTTATAGAGTGTGAGTAGGAAAAGATTTAGGAATTTGTTTTGAATTGTATCTCTAAGGTAAAGTTGTTAGGGAAATTAGAATTATAAGGTAAGACTAATTAAAGGTAAGATTGGATTTTTTGAAGAAGAACACGGTCAAAAACTTATATAACTACTTTTTTTTTTTTTTGATCTGATTCTGCAAAACAAGAAAAATAACACGGTTAGGAACATAAGAAATTAAATTTATTTGTGATACTTGGTGTGGTCGAAGAACTTTAGGCCGTGTGATTGCAGACTGCGAGAGCAACTCGAAGTAATCCAAATCTTGATTTGTCCAATGGTTTTGTGAATAAATTTGCTAGGTTTTTGTCTACAGAAATGTACTCTAAAATTATTTCTTTTTCTTCGGCTAATTCACGAATGAAGTGATGGCGAATGTCTATGTGCTTCGTTCTGGAATGTTGAACCGGGTTTTTGCAGATGTTGATTGCACTGGTGTTGTCACAAAAGAGTATCATATTTTTTTGATCTAAACCATAGTCGAACAACATTTGACGCATTCAGAGCAGTTGTGTACAGCAACTACCCACAGCTATATACTCAGCTTCTGCAGTGCTGAGTGAGATTGAATTCTGCTTTTTACTGAGCCATGCAACTAGATTTTTTCCAAAAAAAAAAAAAAAAAGCACCCGCAAGATGTGCTTTTTCTGTCATCGGCGTTTCCGGCCCAATCAGCATGGCTAAGCCCTGTAAGACTAAGATTAGTGTCATTTGAATACCAAATACCGTAATTAATCGTACCTTTAATGTATTTTATAATACGTTTTACCGCCTTCAAGTGTGACTCTTTTGGATCCGCTTGGTAGCGTGCACACATCCCGACACTTACCATGATGTTCGGTCTACTAGCAGTTAAGTATAATAGACTGCTGATCATACTTCTGTACAGGGTGGAGTCAACAGAAGTTCCTTTTTCGTCTTTGAATAATTTCATTGTCATTGAGATAGGGGTTCAGGCATCTTTGGCCGATTCAAGCCCAAATTTTGATAGGAGATTTTTTGCATATTTTGCTTGGGATATAAAGATCCCTTCCTTTATCTGATTGACTTGTAATCCGAGAAAGTACGTCAGCTTACCGATCATGCTCATTTCAAACTCTTGTTGCAGGACTTTGACCAGTTGGTCCGTTTCACTTGTCTGTGTGGATCCAAAAACAATATCGTCAACATAAACTTGTGCAATAGTTATGTGTTTACCTGATCGTTTTATGAACAAGGTTTTGTCTGATCCTCCTCGTTTGTAATTGTTCTGAAGTAGATATTGGGCAAGTCTTTCATACCAGGCTCTCGGGGCCTGTTTCAGACCGTATAGAGATTTTTGTAGCTTGTATATATAGTCCAGATGGTGTGGGTCTACAAACCCTTTTGGTTGAGCTACATATATATCTTCTGTCAGATAGCCGTTTAAAAATGCTATTTTTACGTCCATCTGAAAGAGCTTGATTTTTAGAGCGCAGACAATAGAGAGAAGTAGCCAGATTGATTCTAGACGAGCGACAGGAGCAAACGTTTCGCCGTAGTCAATTCCCTCGATTTGGGAATAACCTTGGGCTACAAGACGTGCTTTATTTCGAACGATGTTGCCGGCTGCGTCAGTTTTGTTGTGAAAAATCCACTTGGTACCTACAACATTGACATTATTAGGTTTAGAAATTAGAGTCCATACCTTGATTCTTTTGAATTGCCCCAGTTCTTCTTGCATGGCCTTAATCAAGTGTTCATCTGTCAGGGCTTCTGTGATATTGTTTAGTCCGATCTGTGAAGTATAACAGGCGTAACCGGCTAGTTGAAGATAGTCGCGTTTGTTGGGAACATTTAAGTGTTAAGCTTTGTCCCACATTGCTTATCTATCTCACTATCTCTCACTATTTAAACTACCACTCAATTTAGAAGGCTTGAAGTGTTATGAAGAGGAAACAAGGGGAGATCCCGCGCGAGCCGCCGCCGTCGCCCGCTCGGCTCGCACGCGCGACGCGGTGTGGTCAACATTTTGTTCCACATAACTTTTTAACCCCTATTTTTAAGGAGTTTTGACCACCTTGTCCGCACTCTAATCTTCAACTAATGAACGTGCGTGGATGTGAGTTGTGGTCTTTTCTTTACTCTCCCTCTTTGTAGCTCTTCACTGGATGGTAATGAAGGAGTGTGTTCATACTCCTAGTATATAAACACACTCCATTATTCCATAATTTACACGCTGAAACCTTCTGCATTACCTGAGTAAATCCGAATATATATGTTTCTGAGAATTCTGTGTTTTCCTGTTGAAAGCATGCGATGCCCTGGTCGCAAATGCTTTTAAGGAAGTGTTAATCCACACGCCACAGATATATATAAATTTCCCTGCATTTTTCCAGACTGCTTCCATCCTTCTACAGATTTCGAAACTGCCAGCCTTCTACAGAATTGCCAGCTCCAGTTTTCGATATTGTTGTTGTCTGCTGCGTCGCACGTACGACTTCATCAAACCAACAATTAAAAGCATTTGTGTATCAATATGTCGAACTCTCACTCCGACATCACGCCTGTTGAACCTCTCACTGGGGGTCTGAATTACATGCGCTGGGCTGGAAAGGTGATGATGATTCTCGAATCCAAAGATGTAGATTATGTCATCTTTGAGGATTCTGAGAAGAATACGGAGACCGTGGTGCAAGTTCCTGCTCAAACTGACAAGAATGCTGCGCCAGAAAAACAAGCATCCTCTGCGGATTTAACAACTGAAAAAACGACTCAGGTTCAGGCCACTACAACTTTACAGACAACTCGAACAAAATTCGAGAAAGATAATAAAACTGCACGGGCAGAAATTCTTCAACGAGTAAGTAATCCGCTTTTTGACATTTACTCGCCGTACCGGTCTGCTAAAGTGATATGGGAGCTAATGAAAGGCAAGTTTGGCGTTGATGATGTTGGAAGGCGAAAATATGCTGTGCATAGATGGCTGCACTTCGTGATGATGGACGACAAAACCGTTACTGAGCAGGTACACGACTTTGAAAACCTGGTAGCTGACATGAATCTGAAGGAGCTCTGGTGAATGATGCATTTCTGTTGGACGCATTGGTTGATAAGTTGCCCGATTCGTGGCTAGATTTCAAGAACAAAACGAAGCACAAACTGAAGAATCAGACTCTGGAGCAGCTAATCAACACTATCAATATAGAAGAAGAGAACCGTTTGGTTCAAAAATCTGGTAATTTTTCTGATAGTATTAATGCTAATGTAGTTGAATCAGGTGGGGGTTTTGACAGGTCTAAATCTGGGGAAGGTGCCAGAAACCAAAAGAAGAGTTCAAAACCAAACAATAATAACCGTGTGAATAATGGTTAAGTTCAGAAAAAAGGGAAAAACAGTAAAGAATGTTATGTTTGTGGGAAACGTGGCCACAAGGCTGCACAATGTTATCACCGAAAGGGTTCAACGAACCAGACAGGTCCAAAACCTACTGGTGAAGGGCAAAGGAATCAAGCAAACGTAGTGGAAAATCCAGAAGCTACCGAAATGGTAGCTGCAGTGATAACTGAAGCAAACATGGTAGGAGATCCAGAAGAGTGGGTTGTGGACACGGGAGCAACTCGTCATTTCTGCAACAACAAAGACCTGTTCAAGGTGCTTGAGCTCAACACTGGAGATGAACAAGTCTTTATGGGGAACTCTAGCATTTCTAAGGTAAGTGGTAGAGGAAAAATTGAGTTAACATTTTTTTCTGGAAAGATTCTGTTATTGCAAAATGTGCTTTATGTTCCTTCCCTGCGTAGAAACCTAATTTCCGGAAGCCTATTGAATAAGGCTGGAATAAAAATGGTTTTTGAGTCTGACCGCATGGTTCTGACTCACTGTGGAAAATACCTGGGAAAGGGATATTTTAGTGTTGGCCTTTTTGTGTTAGATGCTTCTGTAGCTAGAAATCAGGTTGCTCTAGTAGGCTCATCTAAATGTGATCTCTTTTCAGACAATGTTGCCAATAATAAAGCTTCCTCTTCTGCTTATATGGTTGTTTCTTTAAATCTTTGGCATGATAGATTAGGACACGTTGGCACTAAATTCCTAAACAGAATAAAGAGCATGAATTTACTGCCAAAATTGTCAAATGAAGCATGCACACAATGTGAAATTTGCGTTGAATCTAAATTTGCTAGAAGTTCGTTTTCTACAGTATGCAACATAAAAACATCTGTTTTAGAACTAATTCACACGGACCTAGCTGATTTCAAAACCACTGAAAGTAGAGGTGGAAAACGCTATTACATTACGTTTATTGATGAT